GGATCTTTGGATAATTTAAACCAGAAAATTGGAACTTTTTATTGCAGGGATTATGTAACCACTTTGTATTAACTCAGAGACAAAAGAAAGAGAGTCAAGTTTTAAAAGTTTAAAGATTTATTACTAAACAAACTAGACTAACTTTAAACACTAAACACTCTGTGTGATGAATGGATCTAGGGGTGAATGAGGCAAGATGGACGGTGTAGTGTGGAATGTTGTTCAGAACCAGCAAATCCGGAGAAACGATTAGTTCTGATGGGACTGAAGAGGATGTTTCGCGCCAAGCTTTGGTTTGGAGATTTATAACACACATTGAGATGCCATTCTGCCGGCCTACGTACCCTTAGTGGAAGTCCCCGTTAGATCAGGAATGTCGAGGTCCAGCTTGACCTTCTCTGGAACCAAAGCCGGTAGGAAATGCAGCGGTTGTCGGCCAGACCAGTCTTGAGATACTTCCAGGTCACAACAGGTTTATTGGCATCTAGCGAGACCCAAAAAGGGGGTCGTGATGGTTCAGCTTTTATTCTGAAAGGAACCGTTGCAGCAGGGGGAACATGCAACAGATTTATTCCAGCTTGTCGTTAGGTTCTTTCGGCTGAAGAGGAAAGTTATGGATTGGCCACTCCGACAACTTCTCTAGAATGCTTGAACTGAAGTTAAGATGATGTGGGCATAGTTTTATAATTTGGAGGTTTTGATTTACAGTCGAATCAAAAAAGGACAGATTTACAAAGCACCAATAAAACCACGCCATGCATCAGATCTGGAAGGCTCTGATTGGATCAGAAAAAGGAAATGTGTCACGTGATCTTAGCACTACATGTGATCAGTCTCTAGTGGAAATATTTAAAGTTATATTACTTATTATAACTACTGATCATAAACATTGTCACTTCACAGATTGGTTCACATTTTATTTTTGGACTAACACTTTGTTTGATTAGCTTATTAAAAATAGAGAAAGAGTTCTGATTTATTAAAAAGGAAGTGTTCGTCTTCTTCTCTTGAGCTGGAAAATAAGAAACAGCTTAGAAGCAGAGCATGAGACCTTGAGAAATATCTCATGCAGATTAGGTTTGTGTCAAAAACTTGTAGTTTTGCTTTGAGCAGAGCAAAACAGAGCAGGGCCTTTTAGGTCACAAATGGACAATTAATCACACTACACATCCATCCATCCATCCATCCATCCATCCATCAATCCATCCATCCATTTATAAAATGTCGTACCTTCTATTTACTGCAATGTACACACTTGTTACCGGAAGAGTCGTCTCTATCAGAAATGGTTTCATTATTCAAATGTAAACACTCTGACTCTGATACATTAAACGTTTCAACACCACGGCTACATGTTCTACAGCGGTAAGTAAGAGACGGAGATATGCACTAGCTAATCGTGATGATGGTACTTCAGACACTTCGGACATCATAAGTGAAGGTTTTGCCCACAGTGAGGTAACCAAGACTTTTCTCTGCACTTTGTCATTTCCTGTTACAGAATGCTAGTTTAGTTCAGAAAAGCGAAGGTCAAGGTCACGTTTATTTCTAAAGCACACTTATTATTGCTTTTGCAACCCAAAGTGCTGTACAACACACAAGATAATATAGCAAGAAAGGAAACTAAAAACCAAAAAATCATTCAAATTAGCAAGTTAGGATAAAAACAACATTACATCACACAATTATAAAATCAATAAAAATGAGAAAGAATGACAAGGACAAAAATTAAATCATCCTACATAAAAGCCAGGTTGAAGAAATGAGTTTTAAGCAAGGACTTAAATACATCCAGATTTTGAGAGGTCCTGATCTGCAGAAGAAGGCTGTTCCAGAGTGTAGGGCCGGCCACAGAAATTGCCCTATCTTGTCACACCCTGTCCTGTCTCCCCATTGTGTTCAGTCCTGTGTCCATGGTAATTGGTCCCACCTGCCTCTCGTCTCCCAATCACCCAAGGTCCCAGCTCCTCCTGTATTTAAACCCTGTTAGTCCATTTTGTCTGGTTGGCTCATTGTTTCATTGTCCTGCGTGTCCTCCATTAAATCAGTGTTTTAAATGTTTCTGTCTGCCTCCCGGCCTGTTTCTTCCCCTGCACTTGGATCCTCACCACCGTCTCACTCACCGGCACACTGTGACATATCTCCTCTCGCGTTTAGGCGAGTCTTTGGAACTGACAATAAAAACTGTGAGCCCGACCGCTAATTCCTGGCAGAAGTGTAGGTTGACAATAAATCATCTATATAAGGAGGGGCCAGACCATTAAGTGATTTATGAACAAAAAGCAACAATTTAAACTGAATCCTGTAATGCACTGGGAGCCAGTGAAGGGAAGCAAGCACTGGAGAGATATGGTCATGCTTCCTTGTACCTGTTAAAAGGCGGGCTGCCGCATTTTGAACCAGTTGCAAGCGGTTTAAGGAGGAATGCCCTAATCCATAATACAGGGAATTGCAGTAATCTAGTCGACAGGAGACAAATGGGCCATTCCCATCTGTACAGGGTCGGCCTGGGCCGGGTAGCCCCAGTCGGCCCCAGCCTGGCCCGGTTGATTCCACACATCCTGTCTTAAGCCCATGTGGGCTGATTCTACCCACCAATCAGAGGCTTGCTCTAATGGAAGGTGTGAATTTGCTGTCAGCAGTAGGTGTGTTGGCCCTGGTCGGCCTGAAGCAGACCCCCTCGAGAAGAGGGCTGGGAATGAGCCTTGGTTGGCCCGGAAAAATACCAGGCCACCCAGATATGTAAACAACCTACGCTACCCGGCCCGGGCCGACCCGGTACAGATGAGAATGGCCCAAAAGAGATGAATAACATGTTCAAAGACAGTGACCGGCAAATAGCACTTAACCTTTGCAAGCTGCCTCAAGTGATAAAAACCGGACTGGACCACTGCACTTATCTGTCTGTCCAATTTAAACGAACCATCCATAAAAAACCCAGGTTTTTCACATAAAGCTTTACAAAATCCAAAAGGGAACCAAGTGGGCTCACCGCACCCTTTAACAAGTCCAACTCACAGGAGGACCACTGGGATGACCTCCTTTTGTGGAATGCAGTTTAGTCGTGTTTGTTTACCTCCTATAATAGCAGTCATTTCTCCCCATTCCAAGGTAAACTATGTTTCCGATTCCCATTTTCAGAGACAGAAAACATTGAAGCCAAAACTCTGTTTACTTGAATAAAACGCAGAGTCGGATATAACAGCGTTTAATGTGTTGGTGTTGTCTGTAAAACTGTTTTAATGTAAGCCTTTTTGAGACCTTTTCAGTGTTTCCTAGGAAACAGCTTTGCTGATTCTATTATTTGACCTCATTTTAATTTCAACACCTTTTTTGGATTTATTACACTGGCAAGCCTCACCGCTCACGTTGGAAAAATAAATGAACCAGCTTAAATACCCCTTTTGCTCCCAGAGAGGCATCATTTTCCACTCCAGCTCTTCGTTTCCCCCCTGAATAAGCAACAAACTGATGTGTCTGGTTCTAATGAAGAGTTTTGTTTCAGAGCTGAGCCATTCATACTCCTGAAGGAGGAGGGGGACAGGAAATGGCTTTATCCCACTGTGAATTAGTGTGCATGCATGTGTGTGCATGTGAGTGCACAGCCGGAGGAACGCAAGTGTATATGCATTACAAAGACATTCGCTTTTCCAGATGGTTTGAACTTTGTGCTGATGTGAAAAGGATGGAAACGTACAAAACAGAATACAGCTAGAGCAGGGAACCACTTTATATTTAAAACAATCAGCTTTTATTCACTTTCAGTTTAAAGTAATTGAAAATGAACTTGAATAACTCCAAATAATCCCACATCTCCTCAAATGACTGTGTGAAGGACGAAAAGGTTTTAACATCTGAGAAATCCTGCAGACTCCAACCAGAACAATCCTCTTGGAGCTTTGGGTAAACATGAGTTTAGAAGTGGTGTCATCCACAGATGAGGGAGAAGGGATGTGCATGAGATGTTGCCAGATGGTGCGATCTGTGGGAGTGTTTTGGCGTGACTGGCATTACAGAGCATTGATAGATTTCCATTACATGAAGGGGAAAAGAATCCCATACTTGTTGACGGCGATCCAGAGTTAAAACTGCAGCTGCTGTTGTCTAACTTAATAAAAATGGATATTATTGACGAGGAACTGATTCGCACTAAAACACCAAGAAAACGCTTTTTGTCTTGTCTAAACTTTTTTATTGTAATAAATATTTTTGAGTGTCGACCTGCACAGCCTCCAGATCCAGACCTTTTATTTGCATTTCGGGTGTCATTTCAGGCCCTGGAGAGCGTGCAGCTGAAGCAAGAAGTGACTCACATTGAGGAAGAAAGAATTCAGGTTCTGAACAACATCGAGGAGCTGGAGCAAAAGATCAAAGACCTGGACAACCAGATGGAGGAGTCTCTTCGTGAGGTGGGCATCACGGTGCAGAACGTAGACACAGCTGATGTCTGCAGACACTTTGACCCTGTGGATGTCTCTTCTGCCTGTGTGTGTGCTGTTGCCACGCATTCTTATGGTTAGCTCTTCCTTTAACGAGCCACAAAGCCCCCTTTAAAACGAACGAGAAGAGTCAGATGGCACCAGTAAATAAAGAATCCTCACATTTGAAATTCCAGTTTGAGGTCACAACACAACAACTGTGGTTTACTGTTGCAGAGCCTCGGCCAAAGTCCAGAATCCAACAGGACAGAACGCCTTTGGAAGGAAATAAGACAGAAAACAACGTTTACAGCAGTTTCAATTAAATTTCACGGTGTAAAATGTCCCGAACTCATGTGATCTGACTTAGCTGTTACCTTCATTTAAACAACACATATGTGGATCCAAATGCAGGGTTTCAGTGTTGTGCTGCTGCTTCCTGCAGATGGAGGTGGAGTGTGCCCTGCTGGACGGAGAACAGGAGTCTGAGGTGACCCAGCTGCAGAAGGAAAACGAGTTACTGGAGGAACTCAAGGGGAAAATGCACAATGTTGAGAAAACAAGTCATCCAGAGTCTCAGGTAAATCTGTGGAACATGTGATCAAGCTTGAATCAATCTTTTTACCAACAAAAGGACATTTTAACCCTCTGCAATCCTTTTGTTTACATCCTGATGCGCTAACAGCTGGTCCGAGCACAGGATGTGCCACAATGTGCTGCTGTCATCTGCAAACGTTCACAGTGATTCATACAAATGTTTTATACATCTTTACGCTTCGCCGCTTGGCTGTTGGAGACAAACTACAAAAGGAATTCTTAAAGTAATCCCCAAACCGTATTCAAATGTTCCCTGGAACATATTTTAATTTTCACGCAACGGCTTTCTCCTAAAAATCATGCCAGAGATACAAGAGGAGTCTGGAACCTTCTCATATTCTAGATTTGATTTATGAGTGAGGAATGGCAAGAAACGAGAAACAACTTTGGAAGTCTGTTTTTATGTATATTTAGTTACCTGACGCCTATAGAAGCCCACCACCTCTTGTAAAGGTGGACGTACCAATTCAGTGTGATTTCTGTTTAAAATGGTTTTTTTGCGATTTTGTGCCTCCTGCTGCTTGGCCCAGTAATTTGGGGGACATGAAAATCAAAACAGCTTCATAAACCCACTAAAATATCCCACGGACTGTCCAAACGCCAACAAAACAAACACATAAATCCCTCCTAATAAATGAACAAAAAGACTTTGCAGATAAAACAAACTCCAGTGGGCATTAGGCAGCCTTGTTTCTTACAAACCAGAACTTGGAAAACTTTTCACATTTATTGTCTCTTCTTCTATTTGTTCCCATGGTGTTTATTTTAGTGCTTTTCTTGCTCTAATTCTGGACCTCCTGGTTTATATTTAACTCCATCTCAGAGCTTCTGCTGCACTAAATCTGCCATTCTCCTGAAGAACATTAAACAAAACTCTCAGTTAATTCTGCAAAGTAAAATTTAGATCAACTAAATGTAAGCGTTTCATTTAACATGAAACTGTTTGTGTGTGTGTGTGTGTGTGTGTGTGTGTGTGTGTGTGTGTGTGTGTGTGTGTGTGTGTGTGTGTGTGTGTGTGTGTGTGTGTGTGTGTGTGTGTGTGTGCATGTGCGTGTGCATGCATGTGTATACACGTGCTGGTGCATATGTGCGTGCGTGTGTGTGTACACATGCTATTGCACATGTGTGTGTGTACGTGCATGTGTGCACATGCTTTTGCATGTGTTTGTGTGTGTGTGTGCATGCCTGTGCGTGTGCATGCGTGTGTATAAACGTGCTTGTGCGTGTGTGTGTGCACATGCTATTGCATATGTGCGTGTGTGTGTGTGCATGCATGTGCGTGTGCATGTGTGTTTACACATGCTTGTGCATGTGTGCGTGTGTGTGTGTACACATGCTATTGCATATGTGTGTGTATGTGCATGTGCGTGTGCATGCGTGTGTCTACACGTGCTTGTGCATATCTGCGTGTGTGTGTGTGTGCATGTGTGTGTCTACACGTGCTTGTGCATGTGTGCGTGTGTGTGCACATGCTATTGCATATGTGTATGTGTGTGTGCGTGTGTGTGTGTATGTGTGTGTGTCAGGAAACGGAGGAACAGTCAAAAAGTTCTGAAGATCTGGAGTTTCAGAAGCTGGAAAGAGAAATCAAGCAACAGGAGGAAACAGAAAGTCAGAGCCAAGAGCTGCTGAGAGAAATCTCAGAGTGTCAGCGTCTCATCATCACAAGGAAGGTACAGCCAAGGGGGGGTGGTAGTTTGCATACAGACAGAGACAAAGGTTGAATATGGAACAATTTAATTAAAAGCTATATTAATTTAAAATATTACGTTTAGAGGTGTGCAGGATGAAGGTACAGTATTTGCTTTAAAAGCTGCATTTTAATTAAAAAATAATCAAATAATTTTTTTGAGGGGCACGACACTGGGCTTAGAGGGCACCAGCGCGGGTTGCAAACAGTCTGCTCGGCACAGTGGAACTGTGGAAAATGGCTGACTAAACTCATGCATCTGTGGCAAGCCGAATGAGCATTTATTCTGATATCCGGATGTCAGGCAGAGTTGTCATGAACATGTAAGCCATTTCTGTCCACTAGTTAACTAGTGAGGCATGTTTGTGTCAACTAGTTAACTAGTGAGGCATGTTTGTGTCAACTAGTTAACTAGTGAGGGTCAAAATGTGCACACTAGTTAACTAGTGACAGCAGAAATGCGCACTAGTTAACTAGTGAACCCATTTAGGCTTCACTTGTCAAGTAGTTGACACAAAAACGTCTTACTAGTTAACTAGTAAAGGCCAAAATGCATACCACTCAGTTAGCTGAAGGTATTTGTGTCTAACTAGTTAACTAGTGAGGGTCAAAATGTGCATACTAGTTAACTAGTGGGAGACAGGAGTGTGCACTAGTTAACACATTTTGGCTTCACTAGTTAACTAGTGAGCCATGTTTGTGTCAACTAGTTAACTAGTGAGGGTCAAAATGTGCACACTAGTTAACTAGTGACAGCAGAAATGTGCACTAGTTAACTAGTGAACACATTTAGGCTTCAATAGTCAAGTAGTTGACACAAAAACGTCTTACTAGTTAACTAGAAAAGGCCAAAATGCATACCACTCAGCTAGCTGAAGGTATTTGTGTCTAACTAGTTAACTAGTGAGGGTCAAAATGTGCACACTAGTTAACTAGTGGGAGACAGGAATGTGCACTAGTTAACTAGTGAACACATTTTGGCTTCACTAGTTAGCTAGTTGACTCAAAATGGCTCACTAGTTAACTAGTAAAGGCCAAAATGCATACCAGTCAGCTAGCTGGAGGTAATTGTTTCTCACTAGTTTACTAGTGAGGGTCAAAATGTGCACACTAGTTAACTAGTGGGAGACAGAAATGTGCACTAGTTAACTAGTGAACATATTTTGGCTTCACTAGTTAACTAGATGACACGAAAATGGCTTACTAGTAAACTAAAAAAAGGCCAAAATGCATACCAGTCAGCTAGTTGAAGGTTTTTGTGTCTCACTAGTTAACTAGTGACAGCCAAAAGTGTCCACACGTTCAGAAGTGAAGGCATAACTCCTAACTAAATAACTAGTTGGAGTAGGTCAATGCCACTAGTTAACTAGCGAACCCTAAATGGTTCACTATCTAGCTAGTTGATGGCAGCAGGGTCACTAGTTACCTAGTTGATGCATCCTTTGTCCAAACTAGTTAACTAGTGAGGACATATATGTATACTAGTAAACTAGTTCAAGCCTACATTCATACTAGCTAGCTAGTTGCACAGAATTCTAATTAGGAGGCATAGAATTTCTAAAATTGAGGCTTTCTATTGGCTCCCTATGTCCAAATAAAATATGACAACCAATCACAGCCAGAATTTCACAAAATCCCACCCCAAACTAGAGCCCTGCACAGGCCTAAAATTTGAGCCCGTGTCCGCCCGGCCCGAGGAGGTGGAGCCCCAGCCCGACCCAGTCCGAAAAGGTTATCAGGATTCTCTGGCCCGACCCGAGCTCGACTTTTTTTTAACCAACTAAATGAAAACAAATTGCGTCAATCTTGACGCATTTCTGCTGTCACTAGTTAACTAGTGTGCACATTTTGGCCATCACTAACTAGTAAGAGAAAAACCTTCAACTAGCTGACTGGTATGCATTTTGGACTTTACTAGTTAACTAGTGAGCCATTTTGTGTCATCTAGTTAACTAGTGAGGCCAAAATGTGTTAATTAGTTAACTAGTGAGCATTTCTGTCTCCCACTAGTTAACTAGTGTGCACATTGACTGTCACTAGTTAACTAATGAGACACAAATACCTTCAACTAGCCAACTGGTATGCATTTTGGCCTTTACTAGTAAACTAGTGAGCCATTTTGTGTCAACTAGTTAACTAGTGAGGCTCATAATGTGTTTACTAGTTAACTAGTGGGTATTTTTTCTGTCAATAGTTAACTAGTGTGCACATTTTGACCCTCACTAGTTAACTACTTGACCTGCTAACAAGATATCAGAATGAATGCTCAAGTGGCTGGCCAAATTGGGCAAAGTTAACAAGTGGGATTTTGACATTCAGTAGTCAGCTAGTACCAATTTTTGTACCTTAGTCGTTGACTAGTAAAACATAAACGTGTTTTAACTAGCGGACATTGAATTGTCCACTAGTTAACTAGTGAACATGCTGAGCAATACTAGTTAACTAGTATGACATGAAACAGTTAAACAAGTTAACTAGAGAGAATTTGGGCCTTACTAGTTAACTAGTTGACATTTAGGCTGTCACTAGTTAACATACAGTTTTAATTAAGTAAGAAATAAAAAAAACAATTTTTAGTCAATTTTCAGTTTAATCCACTAGTTTTATTTTAATAACAATAAATAGCAACATATTATAAAATCAAAGTTGTCTTATTAGCAAATGAAAGCACAAAAACACTGTAGGCCCCGAAAAAGCAGATTTATCATTATATTCTTGTGTTTTCTAACTACCACATTGTTTTTGTTCTCATTAATCTTACTGCAGGATTTGCATGAAAAAAGCAGCAAAATATTGAACTCAATGCTGTACAAAGCATGCCATGAACTAACCGCCAGTGGTAAGCATGCAACACTGGAGCCTAACCAGTTAACCGCCTTTTGCTCCTCCTCCCTGCTAACTTCACAGCATTGTTTTTGTCCTGCTGTTAAGTCCTGATGTTGTGTTGGTTGTTCCTCAAAGGAAAGAATCATGACTCTGAAGAAACAGTCCTCCCAGATCACTCTGCAGGCTCAGCAAGAAAGAGAGAACTTCCAGAGAGAGAAGAACACGTTGCTCATCATGCTACAGAAGGTGTGATGGCCATGTGCATGATCCTATCTGAAATATTCTGGTTTCATCAACTTAAAGAGAGTTTGATGTCTGAAGGAAAAGGAGAAGCTGATGTCTCTGGAAGGAAAGTATGCTGAGTTGTCTGAGGGGCAGAAATTCACCAACAACCCCATCACCATTAAAGCGGTAGAAACATCCGTTTTATTCAGCTTTCGAATGGAGTGTGTTGGCTTATTCTCATATTTGTTCTGATTATGGCAGCACTTGAACTTGCTGAAGGAACGGAGAAGAAGCAGCAAAGAAAACTCTTTCTACCCACATGAAAACTCGCCTCAGAAGAAGAGCCAGCAGCTCCTCGGCTCCTACGACAGATCTTTGGGACGCACATTTCCTCCAAAGGTCTGGTGATGTTTTTTACCTCTGAGCAATAAAAGTCCTGCTCAGGGGGGTTGAACTCAGATCATCGTTAAAGATCTACATTTTTAATTTTGTTATTACTGCTCAATTTTTTAAATGTCCTCAATATGAACTGAAGCAGTTACACACGGCCAGATTCAGTGTGACACCGGTTCTGGTTCTGGCCTGCGGAGGCGGGGATTTTATCGCTCAGAAAATTCCTCTCCCTCGAGAACGATCCACCCAAACCCAAAACCTCTCTACTGCAACACCCACTGAGCTCATAAAAATAGTTGAACAAGTGAGAGTCTCTGCGTTTGAGTTCATAAAGTCTGGTTCTGAATCCAGTTTGTTTTATTGTCTTCTTATTTTAAGGCTCACCTGCCTCTGTCCCAAAGCTCCAGCTGTGGCAGTATCATCCCCCAGGGATTCAGCTTCTCTCAGAAAGTCACTCGCCGGCTGCCCAAGAGTGAGTCAGAACACCGAACCTTCTTCCAGTTTGAGTAGTCGGTGCTTTATTTGTTCATGTAGCTCTGAAACTTGAGTTGTGTGATCCAAATCCGGTACCAGGAACATAGATGTGGTTAAAGACCTGCAGGAGGATTGTACACAGTGATGTTGTCTCCTGTTTGCAGGTAATAGCCAGGCCCACATGAGCGAAGACAGACAGAGTGACTACTGCAGCAGGATGGTTTCTGAACCCAACGTGTTTCTGGACTCGTTCTCTTTCCCTGACCACAGCCAGGCCTCGGACACAGTGAGCGTGGACAGTTCTGACAGCCTGGAGACCAGCTTCTCTGCCTGCTCCCCAGACAACATATCTAGGTGAGACGGAAAGGTCTAAAACAAAGTTTAAAAATACCTATTTGGAGCTCATCTTGCTAACCCTAACCTTAACTCTGAACTGTAGTTGTTGTGAACATTTTTACACATGAGCACCAGAAAATGTCTGCAGAATTTAAATGAGACCTAGAATCTAAACCAGCATTTTCCTTGTTGTTGAATAAAGACAGATTGGGTGGTCAAAAGTAGCATGCCAAACAGTCAAAGCCGTGTGTGACCGAACTTTACATTAATTAGAAAGTTGAAAAAGTTGAGAGAAAAACTCCTTTTCTGAGCAAGCTTTCCTACTCACGCCACATGGTACCCACTCCTTCTACATCTACACGTTCCATCCCACTTCAGCGGCAGCATTATTTAAATGCTGGTCGCAGCAACGCTAGCACAGAGCCACAGTATGCTAGCCTGGCCTGCCATTTCCTCCTCTGTTTAATTCTGCACAGAGAAAGGGTCTGGGAACTGTCCTATTCAAATAACTCCACCCCCTGAGAATTCTAACCGAGCCAATCAGCGCGGAGTAGCGTGCGTCCCACACCATAACGCCGAGTTTGTCGAACATGGCGACTGAAGTGGAGTTCGCTGTGGCTCTTTCCTCTGTTCTAAATGACTTGGGCACATCTTTAAAACAACAAGTAGAAGTGCTAAAAGCCTTTCTTCAAAAGAAAGAAGTTTGCGCTGTCGCCAGACGCCATTTTTGACTACAGCTAAAAAACTACAGTGTTGCGGGCATCACACACAGTGACGCTCAGTTTCTCATAATTAATTAAGACAGTGGCGGAGTTCGCTGCAGCTCTTTCCCCTGTTCTAAATGACTTGAATGTCTTTAAAACCACAACAAGTAGAAGCACTAAAAGCATTTCTTCTGAAAAAATAAATTATGTTTGCGCCGTTGTCAGACGCCATTTTTTACTACAGCTAAAAAACTACAGCGTTGCGCGGTACAGTCACCATTTCCGTCTTTTTTCTGATTGGTTATTTTTGAGCTGCCTAGCCCCACCCCTCAAGTGCCTCTCTGCCTGTGAGTTACCAGACTCTTTCTCTGTGCAGAATTAAACAAGAGGATGAGTCTGGCAGGCCAGGCTAACAGTACGCCGGGCCTCTGTTAGCACCATCTAGCTGTTAGCTTCAGCTAGCAACAGTCTTGTTGAGAGAGTGAAAAAAAACTAGCACGATCACCACTCAGGTTCCAGGAAATACTGGTAATCCAGACTATAAGTGAATGTTAGGTAGATCCACAGCTTCTCCTGTACTTTTCTTCATTGTTTGTCTACAACCCTTCTGCAAGCAGCCTGTCTTTGTCACACACTTATTCTTGACTCACCACTTCAGAAGGGACACTTTGTTTTTCTTTTTAGAACTTTATTGAACAAATGAACAGTATACAAAACCACAAAATGTATGGGGAGCCTATGTCACGCCCATCTACTTCTGGACCATGGGTCCCCATAAGAACGAAAAAATTAATACAAGTCAATGGGAATGTGAATTTTAAAGAAGCATTTTGATACCAAGAACGCACTTATTTTCGAATGGGAGCAAACATTATTTTAGATTTTGTGTGAAAATAAGTCCAGGACTAACAAATGCGCATCACCAAAGTGATGTCATCTAACCAGACACAAAGAAACACTGAAGGAAAATGGCTTTAAGTTAAACGAACTTCAAATCTTTCCTTCAGGAGGAAAGAACCAACATAACTCTGGCCAGTTGGTAAGTAGACTTGAATCTGCACCAAAGGGCCTTGAATGTCTGTTAGTGCCTGTTTTTGTCTTCTTAAACTTTTGCTTTGCACTATCTTCCATTGGGAAAGAGAAGGAAACTCATCTGTGAGTAATCCCTTTGTGCCAAGTGAAAACACTAAGTGCAATCAGGGGCTGTGAACGAGCTGTTTCTCCCCTCCCTGAATACACTCATCATGTGATCTAGGTCTCAATCATTGCAATCAGCTGGTTGCATGAACACCTGTTTCCAACTAGTAGCACAGCATACGTTTGGTGGCATAACTGAAGCGTCAGCGGAAGCGTCAGCCCTTGTGTCTAAGCCCCTCTGGGGTAAAGACATACGTGTCTACCTGCGCGTGTCCACAGAGCAGGTACACAGAGCAAACAAACTTGACCCAGACGCTGCTTCATCGACACCTTGCAAAATGTGCCATTATCCTATACCTGTGATCACTGGCTTCAGAGGAAGGTCACACACAGCAAACCGCTTTCGCAACCTTCAAAACCTCCGCTCGCTAAAACCAACTCCCCCCGAAGACATCCACCACTCTATGGGACTGTGGAACTGCCAATCAGCTGTAAACAAAGCAGACTTCATTACCGCATATGCAAACCACCTGTCACTTGATGCACTGGCTCTCACTGAGACCTGGATCAATCCATGTGACAATGCTACCCCATCTGCTCTCTCAATTAACCAGACGTTCTGCCACACTTCTCGAGCATCTGGGCAAGGTGGTGGAACGGGCATGTTAATGTCCAACAAATGGATATACAGTCAGTTGCTACCCATCACTAAATACAACTCCCTTGAATACCATGCCATCCAGGTAACTGTACTGAAAAAATTCTTTTTGGTTGCCATATATCACCAACCAGGTCAATTGGGCGACTTTCTTGATGAACTCGACACCCTGCTCTCCTCCATTCCTGAGCACGACTGTCCCACAATGGTCCTTGGAGACATGAATATTCACCTGGACAATCCCAGCTCATCAGGCTTCCTGTCACTAATGTCATCATTTGATCGAAAAATAGTACAAAGTCCTCCCAACTCACAAAGCTGGAAAAGCACTTGACCTCATTTTCACCAGATACTGTGTCATAGACAAAATCTCTGTCACACCGCTGCATCTTTTGGATCATTACTTCATCCATTTCAGCTCGACTCTACAAGGGAGGTCCACTGCTTTCTCCCCAATGGTCTCATTCCGCCGCAACCTCCGCAATCTGGCACCCAACCACTTCTCCTCTCTTGTTGCCTCCACTCTTCCATCTCCCAGCACATTCGCTGCTTATGAAGAGAATGATGCCACCGAGTCACTCTGCTCCACACTCTGCTCTTGTCTTAACAACTTGTGCCCTTTAGCCACTAGACCTACTAGATCCTCTCAGTCGCACCCTTGGCTAAATGATACCCTCCGGTCTCTACGCACCAATCTTAGAGCTGCGGAACGGAAATGGCGCAAAACAAAAGATCCCTGTGATCAATTGAAATTTCATGAATTACTGTCCTCATTCTCTGCCAGCATCACTGATGCAAAGAAAGCTTTCTACACTGACAAAATTCTCAGCTCTACTGACTCTCAGAAACTATTTTCAAAATTCAAAACTCTGCTCAACCCTCCTTCTCCACCTCCAACCAACAATCTATCAGCTGACACCTTTGCCTCATTCTTCACTGACAAAGTGGCAGCTATAAGCAAACAGTTTACTCAACTGGCCACTCCTGAACATTCGCTACCACCAACCCCTTCTAGCCCAACCATCTCAAGCCCTACTGCTTCATTTTCCTCTTTTTCCCCTGTCATTGAGAACTGTGTGTCCAAGCTTCTCACGTGCAGCCGCCCTACTACATGCCCACTGGACCCCATTCCGACTAAGCTGCTCCAAGCTATTGCTCCTACAGTAGCCACAGCAGTCACACATGTGATCAACGCTCTCTCAAGCATGCTCAGGTTAAACCGCTGCTAAAAAAAACCCCCATCTCTTCCTCCAAATCATGTGGAGAACTACAGACCTATCTCTCTCCTCCCTTTTCTGTCCAAAATCATTGAAAGGGTGGCTTTCAAGCAGATCACAGAATACCCCTCTCAAAACTGTCTGCTTGACCCTTACCAATCTGGGTTCAAAAAGGGCCACTCCACTGAAACTGCTCTGTTAGCAGTGACGGAATCCTTAAAAGAAGCTAGAGCGACTGCCAAATCCTCATTGCTTATCCTGCTTGACTTATCGGCTGCATTTGACACTGTCAACCATGGCTTCCTTTTGTCCACACTCCCTAGCATGGGCATCACAGAGAAAGCACATGCCTGGTTTGAATCATACCTCACAGGACGATCATACAGTGTATCTTGGCTTGGACAATCCTCTACTGTGCACCATCTTGCCACAGGAGTCCCCCAGGGCCCAGTACTAGGACCTCTTCTCTTTGCCATATACTCCACCTCACTGGGTGAAATCATTAGATCACATAGCTTCTCCTACCACTGCTATGCAGATGACACCCAGCTCTATCTGTCATTTCCACCGGACGACCACACTGTGTCTGCACGAATATCAAACTGTCTCTCTGACATATCAAAATGGATGAAATCCCATCATCTCCAACTCAACCTCTTTAAAACTGAACTACTTGTCATCCCAGCAAAACCATCCATACAGCACAATATCTCAATTCAAAATGACTTCCTATCTCTGGCTCCTTCAAAGGCAGTTCGAAATCTGGGTGTTGTGATTGATGAACACCTGACCTTTAAAGATCATGTTGCCTCTGTTGCTCGTTTATGCTGCTTTGCGCTGTATAACATACAAAAGATCAGACCATACCTAACACAACATGCCACCCAGCTCCTGGTGCAATCTACTGTCATCTCCCGCCTCGATTACTGCAATGCCCTTCTAACTGGTCTTCCAGCCTGTACTGTGAGACCTCTCCAAATGGTCCAGAATGCAGCTGTGCATCTGGTCTTCAATCAGCCAAAAAGAGCACACGTCACCCCTCTGTTCATTGAACTCCACTGGCTATCGCTAGCAGCACGCAACAAATTCAAATTGCTAACACTAGCATACAAAGTCCGAGACGGTACGGCTCCCATCTACCGGAATCCTCTTGCAAAGGCTTACGTCTCGGCCCGGCCGCTCCGGTCATCACAGGATCGTCAGCTAGCAGTGCCTACACCACGCTCAGGACAATCCAGACTCTTCTCATGCATCGTTCCACAAATGTGGAATGACCTTCCAAGCACTACCAGAACTGCAGCTTCCTTTTTAATTTTCAAGAAACTCCTGAAGACCCTGCTCTGTGTGTATTTTTTGTCATCAGTGCCAGCACTTCCAACATGGCCAAGATTGAGGAGATGGAGCGTTTACTTCGAGAGGCCCAGGCAGAGAAGCAGAGACTCCTCGAACATCGGGTAAACAAAAGTGCATTTTGTCTGTCACAGTGGATGTTAGTGTTTAACATATATGGCATGTTCAGGAGCGGGAAATGGAGATGCGCCGGCAGGCTCTGGAGGAGGAGCGAAGAAGGCGAGAGGAGTTAGAGAAACGACTTCAGGAGGAGACAAACCGGAGGCAGAAACTTGTGGAAAGAGAAGTGAAGCTCAGAGAGAAGCAGAGAACACAGGTACTGAGATAATCAGTCAGGAAGAATGTGGAGTTTCTCATAAATCAGAGTAAAACTTTGATCCCTTTCCTTTGATTCTTCCACAGTCCCGTCTGTTGAGCCGCTACCTCCCTGTTAGAAAAGACGACTTTGATCTTCACGGCCACATCGAGGCAGCTGGACATAACCCAGATGCCTGCTTCCATCTGGCCATCACCGACAAAACCTGTCGAGGATTCCTGGTCAAAATGGGAGGGAAGATCAAGACGTGGAAGAAACGCTGGTTTGTGTTTGACCATAATCGCAGGACGCTGACATACTACGCAGGTCTGTACCTTCCTTCGTCGGGTCTCTGTTGATGCAGCAGCGCTGACACTTTGAAGCTGGCTCAGAAAATGCGGGACACGGAGAAGCAGCTTTGATCACAGTTCTGTTTATATTCTGTGCTGCAGACAAACACGAGACCAAGATGAAAGGCGTCATTTATTTCCAAGCCATAGAGGAAGTGTACTACGACCACTTAAAGAATGCACACAAAGTAAGTTGTTTGTTTGTGTGTGTTTCATTCACAGTCACATGTGGCGATGTCCACCCAGGCTTTCATTCACATCTGTTTGTCCTCTTCTTTTTTTCCTCCTACACTTTCTTCTCCCCCCTCGACATTACTCTGACTCTGTTTTTTCACGTTTCCAAAATGACTTCACCTCCCACACAGAGCCCCAACCCATCTCTGACCTTCAGTGTGAAGACTCACGATCGGGTGTACTACATGGTGGCGCCCTCTCCTGAGGCCATGCGTATCTGGATGGATGTTGTTGTAACAGGCGCTGAAGGACACATGCACTTCATGGTGTAACAGATCGGGTTTGATGTTTATTTGGTTAACATTGAGTAGAACCTCCACTCGTGTGCAGTAATAGCAAACACATGCAGTGCTGAGACGGATAAATACCAAGTGAAGGACATTTTACACTTTGATCCAACTTGTGCAAACTTTATAGTTGTACAAAAACACAAAATGTACTTTAAAAAGTACGTTTTTTAGTGGAAGTTCAGAACGAAGTTCTACATCCCTCCCAATTTTCTCAACCTTTTTTTTCATGTTTCTATATTAAAACCATGTATCTCCTTTGAATGTCAGGCTGCATCAGTACTGTCTGTATTTGTAGTGAAATAATGCACTTTTGTGAATTCATTGTGTTCATTTGACTCATCTAAATTGCTGCTTTCAGATCACCATCATAAGCTGATCTTTTCTTGAAGTTCCACAAATATCCATTCAAAAGATTATCAACAAGAATAAAAAGGAAGAAATTGTGTGTTAGATTTTTGATCACATTTATTGTAAATGTTGGCAAATGTTTAGTTCAAACGTAAAGGAAACGAGCAGGATCCCAGAGGATGTGTGTCATATGCAGTGGAAGCTGCAGGCCTGACGTTTGGAGGCCATGTTGTGCAGCAGTGATGCTGCATGGTCTGCGTCCACTAAACCATTTCACTTTTTCACCAGCAGAGGGCCTCCGTGCAGAATGGTTGCACTACAATGATGTAATGCTCTAACTGCACATACTCATTTATAGACATAATACTTATTTTTTTTATTTCAAATATGTGCAGTTTAAAGCACATCTGTGTTCAAGCTCAGATTTCCTACTTTTTTCAATTGTCTTTTGAATGTATTTGACATTTAATGTGTTTTTTGAGTATATTAATAGACTTTTTACAGCACGTTTGGCAGTGAAACATGACTTTAACAGCCAGTGAGGAGGTGTTGCCTGGTTAACCCCTGCAGAGTACAGATCTCGCTGCTGAGCCGACGGTGTTACAGATGATTCACGGCGCGTTTCTCATCTTCATGCTGTTAAACAGACTTTAGGAAAAAATAATTAAACCAAAGTGAATGACTGCTTTCATATATATATTTTTAATACATGCCATGTTTTCTGTATGTTGTGATTTTTAGTTGACGTTACAATTTAGTTTTTTATACTAAACTTGAATAAATAATTCAGATTTCACATTTTTAGAAATTCTTTGGGTTTTTTTTTTTAAATAATTTCAAACATACGGATTTTCTTGTATTTTAAATAAATGGTTATCACTGGGGTTCGGCTGTGTTACAGACAGATTTTTAAGGTTTTTCTTTTACCCTATATCTGAAACGCCAACCACAACGTGAAAATAGTCTCCGACACCTATCTCCTGCATTAGCCTCCGATAGAAACCTGACTGGGAAACTCTGGGATTAGAAAAGCCTGACAGATCTACGTCACACTGTCACTTAACATTCATGGACTCACCCATCTTGACTCACAATGAGGAAGGCTGTTGATGGTTTAGCGTCCAGGAAACAGCAGAGAATGTCTCGGCTAGTAGAAGCTAACCATTAGCCTTAGCAGTCTCACCACATGGCAGAACTCCTCCAGGCTTGTGTTATTTGTGAGAAAAAGCATTAATGTTGCAGCGCAAACAGAGTGAGTGATAGAGTTGTGTTGCTGTTAGCCAATCAGAGGGGAGATGTCCAAATATCAGGAAATAAGACTCCAAATCCTGTCATCTGAAGCTCAACTCTGATCTGGCTCACTTCTACATCCTGCACCGGAGCTTTTGTTCCCCAGAGTCTGACTTACAAGGCATTCATTCCTACTAGAGACTACTGCAAATGCATCAGAAATATGGGTGAAGATGACCTTTAAAACCTTTACTGGACCTGATTGGAAGAAAAATAGAAAAAAATATGAAGGTGTTAAAATAAAAAGTGAATGTGTGTGAAATTATATTCTTATAACTTAAATATTAATATTTTATCTCATGTCGTAATCTATAAATGCAAAGTTAAAGTGTTAAAGAGGCTCAAATTAATTTTATTTAAAGTTAATTTCCAGTTTAGAGTATTTTTGATATTTAGAATAAAAAACTGACTTGACCATCTGGTTAAAAGGCCCTGAAACATTATTAATACCTTAATAATTGTGTGTAAATCCTACAGAACTGAGGGCTTATTAAGGCAGTGCTGTTTTAAACTCCTCCTCCTGACACGTGCCGCCTTTCATTGGCTGACCTAGTGGGGTTGGCATGGAAACACAGACTGAAGCAGGTTAAATTAGTTTCTAAAGAAGAAAGTCGTCCCTCCAGAGGAATCGCCACGCAGACACACTCCGGCCATCAAAAACCTGCGTGTCCTGGATGCACGGTCGCTGCTTTAAAGACAACAGGACTGTAAATGACAGCAGTCCCATGGAGAGGAGTGTACACGCTTCAGAGCTGTTGAATCATCACTCACAGGCATGCACAGCTGAGGAATCATGTGAATGCATGTTGACAAAAGGCAGCATTCACGGAATATTTGTTCCTTTAACAACCGTGGGAATCCTATTCACACCAAAACTTTTCTGTAGCATAACCCCGGCCCTTGTCACTAGCCAAATCTCTGCTGTAGTTTGGATTATTCTGCATCTAAGATCTGTTTCACATCTTTCAACACCCTCTAATCCCAAAACACAGGTGTTAGTGAGAAGCAGATGTGTTGTGTCAGAGCCTGTGGGGGGGACTGTTCTTTTCTCAGTTTCCTCCGTTTAGCTCTCTGTAATCCAGATCACCACCTCATGTGGTGAACTCCTCGTGTTTTCTCAGGCCATTCAGGGTCCTCTATGCTCAGCTTGTAGCTCGAGGCTTTATCAAGGAAACAGACGTCTTTTGTGTCACTTCTGCAGTCATTTAAAGGATAATTCAACCTTTGTTTCTTTATTTCTCGTGCCTGAGACCAGCTCTCATCCTTAATGTGAGCTTCTACACTCACCTGCTGCTGCTGTTAGACTTTAAAGTCTCCTCTGTTACGTTTATCACACGTTTTCTCTTATCTGCCGTGATAATAAACTCTTATCTAAAATGTTATTGAGCAGATCCATCTAAGAATAGCAACGACACACATTCCCAGACCTTTTTACTGATAATGAGGTATGCACGTACAGTTTTCCCTTGAAGCTGATTGGCTGAGCTCAGCTGACATTCAGAGGCTTACTATTCAGGTCAGTGAGCTTGGAGTGTGAACGGTGTTGGACTGGAGCCTGGGGTGAATAAATGGTGAGTAATACAGAGCTAGTGAACGTGCTGATTGTCAAGCAGAATAAAAATAAACGGTATAATGGAATACGTAACCCCCTAAGTACTCATGTTGTTTTATTGATTACGTCAGAAACAGAACAACACTGATGCGTCTCTACACAGAGATCCTGTTCTCATCTGAGATTAAACATGTGCCTGTGTAAGCTGGAGATCCCATCTCGCTGCTCTCTCTCTCTCTCTCCCACTCAAACGTCCGCAGCACCATTCACAATGGCTGCTGTCCATTTCAACAGAAAAGGTCTTCCCAGTCCACTTTCACACAGCCGTCTGATGAAAAGTTCACAGTGAGATGTGACGTTGTTACATATGAGCAGGCGCTGTACAGTCCAATAACTTGTGCCAAACGTTTGGCACATCTTCTGCTACATGGATCCATCGATATGTGTGGAATGTAGATTTGGCCGTTGCGTTCATTTATACACATCCCCATGGTTCCTCTGCTGGCATAAATAAAAGGAAGGACTGGGTTTTTATCAAGTGACTCGCTGGAAGAGAAGACAAAAACACTGGAAGGTTCCTACAAAAAGCGGGAGGTAACAAAAGTTAAAAGTTGCTGTAGAAAAGACTGAAAAATAATTCAGAGTCTGTAGGAAAAGCACCTTTATCGGGGCACCTTTCCACTGTGTGAGTGACCGAGTTTCCTTTGAGCTTTCGTCCTTCAGATTCTGAAACGTGAACTCTGACCCTTTCCTGAGTTTGTGTCCGGTTGGCTCAGCACCAGAGAGCCAGCCTGCTGCTCTCTGTGGGATGTTTTGTGCGTGAGTGTTGTCAGGCTCCTTTACTCCTTGCTTGTTGTGACGTGAAGCCATGAGCTGACAGAATTACAGTAATGGGAATCTAAAAGGGCGGTGTAGTTAAAAGTTGCAGCCGGAGCCACGATCAGCTTCAGTCTGGTGTTTTATTTTCTTGTCTGGCCGATGCCTCCAGTAGCGACTGGTTTGTTCCCAGCCCTGCGAACAGGAACCTTAGACACGGGGATCTTCGTTCGAGGGGGTTCTTTACTCTGAGAGATTTGGGAAGCGGTTTGAGGCTGAGTGCCGTGTTTCACGGGGATCTTTGAGTCCCGTCCTGAACTCGTGAGACCTTTTAGTTGCTGCAGCTGCTGACTCTCCTCCTGGCTGTGTTTTGAGGTGGGTGCGTTTGTCTCAGTTGGGCTGATTTTATCTTTGCTGCCTGCTTCATGTGAGTAGAAATCAGGCCTCTCTTCTCGCACCGGAGTAGGCGGGTCTCTGCTTAAATCATCGTTACTGCGTTGGCTTTCCCGAACAGGCAGCTTTCCCACTCTTCCTCCTCCCACTACAGGTATTTTACTGAGTCCTGAAGCTTTTGATTGTGCTGGCTTCTTTTCTTTGGAGAGCCCCGGCAGGCTGGCCTGTGGCTCAGTTTGTAATTCTTTTGATTTTGGGGGCACAGCCAGGTTTCCCTGTCCACCTGTACCACCGGGGCTGACAAGCTGATGATCTTTCGACGCCTGTCCGGCTCCCCTCAACTTAGCAGAGGTTTCACTCTGCCATGGTGCAGGAGGAGAGGGAGGAGAAGTGGCAGGGCAAGGGGCAGTGGTAGCTGCAAGGTGGGTTTGAGGCTGGGTAATCGGGATCTGAACTGAGGCAGGAGGGGCCTTTGATACAGAAATTGGGAACTCAGTAGGGGAAGGTGGAGCTCGAGATGAACAAACCTGCATTTTAACAAATGCATCTGGATCTTTAAATACAGAAACTGGGGCTTGAGTGGGGGCAGAGGAGACTTTAGGTTGAGAAACTTCCTTTTGAGCTGCGGCAGTGAGTTTGTTGGGTGCAGGTGTTTGCATTTCAGCAGGGGTACGTCCAGACGCAGGGGTTTTGATCTGACCCATAGCAGCTGGTGTTGCTGTAGAAACAGCATGAGTGCTAGCAGCTGTGTAAGGAGGAGGCATCTCTTCTGAAGCCACGGATGCTGTGGGTCTAGTCGCAGGAGGGATTTTATCCAGAGATGGAGCTGGAACAGACGCAGGGCAGGGTTGGGTTTTCGTTGCGGCGCCAAAGTTTGAAGTAGGCCCAGGATCTAAAATGCTCACAAATGAGGAAGGGGTTTTATTCAAGTCCAGATGGGCTGAGGTGAGCAGAGGCTTGGAAAGAGCCGTGGAAACCGAGCCTGAGGTTGTTGTGTTAAAGGAAGTTACCAAAGCAGGAGAAATTGGCTTTGTAGTACATTCACATGTTGTTGTTACAGTCTCCGGAGTTCTGGACTCTGCCACCGAGGTTGTGTTAAATGTTGACTTTTCCAGGCTTGAAATGATGTCTGATTTAGCGGAAGTAGGCTGGGTGACGGGGAAGAGGGGACTCTGGGTCATGACCAGAGGCTTAGCTGATGCAGCGGGTGAAACAGACGTAGGATTGGGGTCACTTACAGAAGCTGGACTTGGACAGATTGAAGGAGCCTTGTTCATAGCAGACTGTGTGTTTGCTGGAGTTGTGGAAGTAGAGATGAAGCTTGACGTAGGCTGAACTGTCTTTGAACCAGAAGGCATTACAGAAGTGGTGGTTGAGGGTTTTGTTGTAGTTTGGATGCTGGAGGAGGAGTAAAAGGCAGGAGAATAGTCTGAACTCAGCTTGACTGAGTGAGAGGTCAAAGTAGAAGATTTGGTGAAAGTTGTGGTGAGACTCTCTGGTTTGGTGGCGGTAGAGGAGGAGGCTTTCACTGTAGGAGCACTGCTGAAGGTTGAGAAGGTTGGCGGTGAGTAGATGGTGGGTTTAGAGAAGAAGGATGATGGAGATACATCACTTACTGCAGCATGAAGAGCACTGCTAGCTTTGCCCCACTCTGCCTCCACGTCAGCCATGATGTCACCCCCTGAGATAGAGTCAAAAGTCAGGAGAGAAGAGATATCTTCCAGCAAGGAGCTCAGACTGTTGTCACCAGGTACCAGCGGTGTTTCAACCGTGGGTGAAGGCGCCATGTTTGCTCGACCTATGATTCCCATAGTTTCCTTGGTAGCTGAGGACTCTGAAGGGGACATGGCTGCACTTTTGGTAGTTGAGGAGCTGTGGTCAGGGTCACAGCTCGTCGTTTCAGGGCTGTCCAGAGAACGAGGTTGGCATTTAGGTGTGAGGGTGAGGTCCTCTTTGATGATTTCCACACTGTTAGCTCTGGATGACATGAAAAGTGGGCTTGGGGGAGCTTCCTCCTTGTCTTCTTTGTCCTTTGATCGAAACTTTACGTTGCCAAAAAGACCCTTCAGCCCACGACGTTGCCGACCCACCGGCTGGGACACGGTGTGGACTCGGCGGTCCCCTGTTCCCCTTCGGCCCCCCCTTAGCAGGGAAAGGAAGCCGAGAGACTTGGCTGAGCTGGCTGAAGAGATGGAGGTGCGAGCAGGAGCAGAAGCCAGAACGCCATCTTCACCGAGCGTTTCGTCCTCTGCCTGCTCCCTTTCTCCTTGGCCCACCTCCTGTCCATTTTCCTTGTCTGTCTCAGAATTTGGAGCAGGACTCTCTGATGATCCATCTGAGGCTTTGCTGCCGATAACAGGTGGCTTGTTGTTTCCATCCCTCTTGCTTCGGATAGAAAATATGTTACCTGGTTTGCTTTTGCCGAACAGCTTGAATCCTTTTCTGATTTTTCCACTTGGCTGCGACTCATTAGGTGGGGGCTCCGCGTTTTCTGTCTGTACATCCATTGTCTCTCTTTTCACCCAGCTTCTCTGTATCCTTTAGTTAAGTACTTGAATTAATATTCCCAGTCTGTTGATGAATCTTTTACATCCAAATGTTTATCTCCGTCTGTTGCCTCGCACTGCCTCTGCTGATCTCAGTGGGTTTCTTTATCAGTTGCCTGTATCCCTCCCTCTGCCTATCTTTCCCATCCAGCCCTTTCTCCTCTGTTTCTCCCCTGAAGGCCCCTCCCCTTTGCCTCCTTTTTTCTGTCTGGCTGCTCTCCCTGGTTGCCGTAGCAACTGAGGAGCTCAGCAGCTTTCGTCACCATTGCAGAGCCAGGGGCTTGTCATCAGCCCACTCTGACCGCGGTTTTCTCTTTCTCTCCATCTGATGACTGTGTTTACATAAACAGCACAACAAATGCTCCATTAATGGGTCCAGCTTTGACTTCTGAATGGTCTGGCTTCATAAAAACATCTCAACCAGTTTCTGTCTGCAGCCCAAAATTCAAACACACACACACACACACACACACACACACACACACACACACACACACACACACACACACACACACACACACACACACACACACACGTGTTTTTATGGGTTTGTGTGGACTACGTTTTCTGAGTTGTTTGTGTGGACCCTGACTTCCACTATAGCCAGAAATGTGCAAAAATTATGTTTAACTCTAGGTGGGACAAAGGAAGCTTCCTCTAGGATTTTGGTTGTGTGGACCGGGTAAATGTCCACACAATGGTGAATGTCCACACAATGTTGGTCTCCCGTCAGGGGTTGGTCCACACAAACCCATAAAGACAAGTGCACACACACACACACACACACACACACACACACACACACACACACACACACACACACACACACACACACAGGTATATATAATATAAAACTACATAATACAGATAAAACATAATTTCTTTAGTTGGCGACACCCTGTGGTGATATTGAGAACTGCACGTGAACCAGCCTTTAATTAAAAACCCAAAAAAAGGCATAGAATGTCTCAAAATAGAGCTGCTGTCTCATCAATATTCATTTCCAACCCACATGAGAGTGTAAGTGGGTCAGCAGTCCTACAAATCCGGCCATTTTTACAGTCTGCACTGGAGATTTAAAGAGTCATAGAGTACTAATAATAATAATAATGCATTGAACTTATATAGCGCTTTTCTAGACACCCAAAGACGCTTTCACACACTCTTACATTCACACACTGCTAGTGATGGTAAGCTACTTGTAGCCACAGCCACCCTGGGGAGGTCTGACAGAGGCGAGGCTGCCATTTGGCGCCGTCGGCCCCTCTGACCACCACTAACACAGACAAGTTGGGAGAAGTGTCTTGCCCAAGGACACAACAGCAGGATACCCTGGTGGGAGCTGGAATCGAACCCGTGACCCTCCGATCATAAGGCAACCCGCTCTACCACCTGAGCTACTGCTGCACTATTGTATAAACTATTTTTAATGTGTTGAATTGAACTGTAAAATGTAAATTTAAATTCTGTAAAATATAAAAGTGTAATAAATTCATTACAGACATTTCTCTTTCCGATACCCCCCTGGGCAAAAATAAATATACATTTTATTGGTTATTTTTTTACTTTGTGTTGTTAAGCTCTGTATTTCTGCTCAACTTTACAGATTATTGTGATTATGTTATAAGAATTTTCTGAAAAAATCAGATGAAGTTAATAACAATTGTACGGGAACCCAAATGATTTCTGCACATGATCTCCTGCTAATAACAGCGTTTTACTCTATTAAATTGGCCTTAACGAATAGGAACAGAGTGTTCCGCAGAAGCTGGTGGCCTTAGAAAGGATTTTTTAGAATGTTTTTATACCCAAGCTCTGTAATCTGGAACTTTTACAAAATGTGTTAAAGAAAGAATAACAGTCGCTCTCTACAGAAAATCAGTACTCAGTTCAGATGTATTAGCTTGACATTTTATTAATCAACACCAATACCTAGAATAAAGTGTGTAAACATCTGTTTTTGTTCCAGAGTGGATAACCCATAAATATAATGACTTATGTAATTTTGTCACAGAGAGTCTCTGTTTTCTGTCTTTTTTTAAACATCGTGCTCCACCAGAGTAGCCTGCAGGACAGCCTTGCTTTTCTGCTCGTCATCATGTGACTCAAAGGGAACCGTGTCATATGTGCGGCGGTACAAACACCGAGAGACCAAACTGATGATGAACATCTCCACGATCATGATCTGCTGACTTAACACTGTGAGACAGACAGACACACAAAAGAGAGACAAACAGGAAATATAAATAGTGCTGGCTCATTTCAGCTCAAACATCAAAAGAACAGAGTTGTCTTACTGGATCCACGAGCCTGAGAAGAGAGAGGAGGAACGCAGGCGATGGTTCCATCTAAGGCCAGGATGTTGATGATTGATGTCTGCAGCTGACTCAGTACAAGTACTAGCTAAAGAGAAAATACATGATTTATAACATGGGAGGTGCATTTATGAGCTAATGTTTATGTTATTCAGCAATGAGCATGCAGCAACTTTCTAGAAATCTTATAAAGTGATCCTGACCTCCTTTGTAATGTATTTTCGGATCGTTTTTTTATTATTTTTAGCTCATTAAAGAGAAAGTCACCCCCAAATCAACATTTTTTTCTGATAAACTATATAAATGTGTGTCTAATCGTGCTGAAGACACGTGTAGTTTTGCACTTTAGTGCATTTTAATTAAAATTTAAATGTTCTACCTAAAACTGTCAGTGTCGTGCCTTCGTCAGGTAAAAACTGCACTGCATTTGAATTAAAATCTGCCATCACTATTGGCTAAGAGGTACCCTAGAAGGTTAGCTGGTACCATATGATGTCACAATGTTGTTGTGAGCCTGTGTGTGTGTTTGTGTGTGTATTTGTTAGCGACTCCACCCTCTCGGTCTGCTAGGCAACAGCATTTGTTGCATTTTTCAAACAGGAAATGGGAGTGGAGTAATACTCTGGTAGGGGGTGACTTGTTCTTTAAATCTTTTGACATTGACCTTTGAACCATTCAAGCATAAAAAGACTGAATTACTGCAGTTGGTCAAAAAGAGACAAATTGTTCAGTTTACTTTAGTTTAAGATGCAATTACAGAAGCCCTGAAAGGCAGCGGAAAAAATATGCTTTTGGCATTTGTCTACGTTTTTTTAAATATATGCATTGCAGGGCAAACTACAAACGGGTTTTTATTCGAAATTTACTCAGCCCAGGAGGGCAAAAGAAGTCATGTTTTTCCTTTTGTAAAAGTATGTCTTTTTGTAATACCGTATCTGTCCACTAGTCGGTGCTACAGTGAAGATTAGTTCCGAAATGAAGAAGTTGTTCATTTTATCAAACTCTTGGCTCTAAAAGATGTTTTGAGATGTTTCAGGTAAGAAATTGCACGTTAAAATCCATTACAGAAGTCATACAGTTAGAAATGAGCCTACTTTTTATTCACTGGGGTGGTTTTGGAGACTCAAAGGGCAGCCTAAGCTACGCCCATCTACTTCTGGGCCATGGGTCCCCGGAAGAACGAGAAAGAGAATAAAATGCTATTTTCTAATCCTATTATGTACCATGGCTTTCACGTGTGATGTCTGGGGGCAGAATGGGGTATTTGCTCCCTCCGGTGGCAAAAACAGAACAACAGCCTGGATTCCAACAGCATATATAGAAAAGAAAGGAAGATGAGGAGTTGCTGTCCTCCAGTGTTTTAAAGCGTGTACTACATTGTTGTTCTTTTTAGAAAAAGAAAATAATATTTGAGCCTTCTTACATTAATTAAGCCTTTAAAAAATCTTAATATTTGTATTCTCTCGGGAAATCTAATATTAGAGAGGAGGAGGATGAGCAATAGAAGGAAAAGAAGGACCTGGATTAATAAAAATAAAAGAGGAACTAAGCAGAAACGCTTCCTCTAAAACTTCTTAACAATGAGTTTTATTGACCTGAGATTATGGGGAATCTGTGCCCTCTGCTGGCAAAAACCAGACCAACACTCTAGATGCCAACTGCATTTAGAAAATAAGGGCGAGCTGCTGCCCTCCAGTGTTTGAAAGCTGGTACTACACCGTTATTCTTCCAGCCATCCAGAAGAGATTTTTTTAGCCTCCTTAAGGAGGGGGAGGAGGATGAATAGAAGGAGAAGAAGGAATTGGATTAATAAAGGTAAGAGAGAAATTTAGTAGATACACCTCCTCTAAATTCTGTATGATCAGTGTGTTCCAAATACAAGGGGATCACACTCCTAAGCCTCTTTGGTAAAACCTATGCAGGGGTTCTGAAGGGAGAGGAGAACGAGGTCCATTGGATAGTTGAATCTTAGATTTAGGAGGAGCAACGTGGTTTTCATCCGTGACGTGGAACACTGGACTAGCTCTATGACCTTGGGGAGGTCGTGGAGGGTGTGTGTGGTCTTCAATCAGCCAAAAAGAGCACACGTCACCCCTCTGTTCATTGAGCTCCACTGACTACCGCTAGCAGCACGCATCAAATTCAAATAGCTAACACTAGCATACAAAGTCCGAGATGGTACGGCTCCCATCTACCTGAATCCTCTTGCAAAGGCTTACGTCTCGGCCCGGCCGCTCCGGTCATCACAGGATCGTCGGCTAGCAGTGCCTACACCACGCTCAGGACAATCCAGACTCTTCTCATGCATCATTCCACAAATGTGGAATGACCTTCCAAGCACTACCAGAACTGTGGCTTCCTTTTCAATTTTCAAGAAACTCCTGAAGACCCTGCTCTTCAGAGAGCATCTTCTAAACTAGCACCCTCCCTGCACCCATCCCCCCTCTCTACTGTCCACTCCTTGTTCCCTCCTCTCCATGACTGATGTCAATGTTGTTGTTGTTATTGTTGTTGTTAGCCTCAAGGGCAACATGCCGATTATCACTTGTAAGTCGATTTGGACAAAAGCGTCTGCTAAATACATAAACATAAACATGTGTTAGTTCTCCCAACAAATCTATGTACATGTTTTTTTTTTTTTTCGTGAGCTTGGAGATGGCATTCACCCTTGGGAGTCCTGTTGGGGGTATTCTAGGAGTATGAGGACCCAGACCCCTTGATACAGGCTGTTAGGTCCCTGCATGATCTGTGCCAGAGCTTGGTCCCTATAGCCGGCAGTATATCAGGATTGTTCCTGTTCAGATTTGGACCCACCAAGCTGGCCCTTTGTCAGGGTAGGGTGTCAGGGTGTCTGGGCTCGCTTTTAGAGGAGGAATAGAAGGAGAAAGGTGATATGGGAGGGGCTCGGAGTAGGTCCACTTCCCCTCCACATTGAGAGGAGCCAACTTATTTGGTCCAAGCACAGGGATAGACTGGCCATCTGGCTTACTGGGCATTTAATGCAACCCACAATGCAGCCCTGACTCCAACGTTAAGAACCAATATTACAAAGTAGAATTAGAAAAGGTATTTTAATGCAAAAGCAATCAGGAATTGCATAGTTGATAGTTTCAGGTGAAGTTATGCATTTATCTATCATTCATGCAGGTTTTGTGTAGTACCTCTTTAACAAGTGTGTAGAGACGGCTTGTGGACTCACTTGGTACATGGCATACTTGGGTACAATGCTGAGGCTGCGCAGCAAGCTGTTGGTATTCATGAAGACGATGGCAACAGGCCAAAGGGAGATAATGGTGAGGACACCAATGAATGGGTTGAGCCAAATGGCTGCTCCAGTGATCTCCAGCTAAAAACGCAACAAAAATACAAACTTTTAGACTTTTCATACAGTTGTTTCATTAAAAGCATTTCAAAGACTTACATCAGAAAGGTCAAAGTTTCCATTCGTCCACAGTACTACAGCGAGAACAGAGAGAGCTGTTTTTAGTATGGCATACTGCAGAGCACCCAGCTTCAGCAGGAATAGCAGCCGTCTGAAATTCACAATAAAACATTGTTACAGACAAAAAGAAACAAAGACTAAATGTTGTGCATCGGTACATTTTGCAGTTTGGTTTACAAGCAAATCAGAGTCCTTAAGCATAAACGTAAATGAATTTAAGTAAAATAGGTGATGGTACCGTGTTACCGGGACACGGGGTAAACAGGGGCAGCAACAGCAGCACGGTCCCGTGTTGATCCGAAAGGTTTTTTCCGAAAACCGGAGCAGGAAAATGCTGCTTCCACCCAATTCCTCAATCAACAGCACCAAGACCTTGTAAACTACAACTGCAAAATAACTTCATACAGAAAGGGTCAGTCAGAAGATTCATACATGATCACATAAGGTAAACATAGTCACTACTTAGATACCGCATAACTATGCAACTGCTTCTGGCATATGAGAACAAACTATAATTAACTTTTATTTGCAGGAATCTCAAATTTTCCAAATTGCACTACAGAAAATAAACTCTCTCTCTCTCTCTCTCTCTCTCTCTATATATATATATATATATATATATATATATATATATATATATATATATATATATAGAGAGAGAGAGAGAGAGAGAGAGAGAGAGAGAGAGAGAGAGAGATGACCATTAAGAAAGGGTTAAACGCTATCCAGACCTGACACTGTGGGCAAAAGTTATTGACCCCTAGCTGTTTGGGGTGAAAGGTCACCTTCAGGATTTTCTGCTAGCACGTGATGGTTCCATCAATCCAGGTCCTGAAGCAGACATCACTCTACCACCACCATGTCTGACTGTTGCTATGATGTTATCTGGACTCCAACAAGATACACACCTTCCAGAGCATTCTGCTATTAACTCATCAGTCCACCGAATTATTACCCAGGAGTCGTTCTTATTGATGAATCATGACTTCTGAGTCCTGTTGGGGGTAGACTGTTCTGGGTTCTTTTGGTCTTTGAATTTCTTTAGAAAATGCTTTTTGAGATCTTTTGGCCTATGTCATGTTGAAGTTAGTTTTACATGTCTAGGTGTGGCCAGTATCACAAACACCTGTTTGTGTTGACCAGCTGCTGTTTCCAAGGGTTTTACAACCAGTTAGTAGGTTTAGGGGTCAATGACCGACTGTACACAGAACCCAGTTGGTTTGTGTGGATTTGCTCTCTTAATAAATAGTGTTTTGGATTTGGTCAGGTTATCTTTGAAACATTAAGGCAAAACCAAAATAAGTCTGTTAGGGTTAAAAGTTGTTGTTATACAAAGTATTTTATGAATTTTTTTATCATATTTGGGCAATATAACAGTAAGAATTAGTAAAAATTCTGTTTTTTTTAAATAGTTTAATAAATAGCCAGGTCAATCACACCCATTCTGTAGCCACACCTTCAAATACTACATTTACTTGAATAATCATCAACAGAATGCTAAATATTAAACCGTGTCAGGAATTCTGGGTTGGGGTAAAGTGGTGGACAGGTTTAACGAGTCGTAGATAAAGCCAGGCTGATCAACACACAGAAAAGCAACAGAAAGCGTTTTGTGAAGAAGAAGAAAGCATTACTCACACACTTCAAATGGACTTTAAAAATAAACTGAACCTGAAGTATCAGCATGTCTCAGTTTTAGCTGTTGCTGGGTAAAAGATGATGCTGTAGCTAGACTAGACTATGTGCATGCTTCAGATCTTAATTTGACATTTGAGAGAAAACTCACCAGTTTGACACCATGTCTGTAAACATGACTGCCCGAGGAATCCACATCCCAAAGCAGGCCATGGTGGCAATAATCTAATTAAAAATAAACACACACAGGTAGCACTGACTTTATAAAAACCTGGTTTACTTTGAACTTCCAGATCTCTTACGGGCCTTGACCACTTACTGGTGAAGCCCCACTTATCCAGATTAGAGTCGTCTTTTTGGGATAGGGCATCTTTTTATAAATAAACACGCACCACTCCAGGTACAGCAGCAGGGACACACAGGACATGAAGGTGAGAACAGCATAGAGACACGTTCCAAACACATCTAGCTCTGAAACAGAAACAAAAACAAACAGGAGCACAGAGGCGTTGCATAAGTGAAAAATACATGTTTCAGGTCCATAGAAGGTCATGCTCAACTGTTTATGTCATTATCTCAGAGTGATAAGAGACCAGCCAGCGGGATAATGTGGGTCACTTACGTTTTATCATGTCCATAGCCAGAGGAGGCTCTTGGAAACAGGCTGGGTCGGCGGTGCTGTTGAGGGATTCCTCCATGCTGAAGAGGTTATCCTCTTGGATAACTAAACAACCACTCAGAGGGATCTGACTGTGGGAGACAACCCCCGTCCTCTTCTCAACACCAGGAGATTGTGGCAGCAGACATATGTGCCCTTTAGACTTAAATACTTCACCGTGACAAATGACCCAGGGTCGTTACTCTTGCTTATTCATTCACAGAATTAAATCCTAAGGAGACGAACATCAAGGCGTGAGTTTTAGATGACATGATGAGCGTGAGGAGGATGGACTTTGGCAGGGTGTGAGTCTTCCCCACAAACGTTTTACAGGTATTAACACAAATCTTTGAGCAACATTTTACAGCTCAATTTGCATTTTTATATGACTTTAGATAACTTCCTACAAGAAGAGGGCTTTAAGTAGATTTTTATGCCAATTTGCAGAGTTTCTGTGTAAACTGTAAGAATAATTACTATCTTACCCACTGTAGACAGCTCCCTGAACGGCATCTGGTCAGAGAAATCATTTTTGTCCCACAGGATTGATAGGCTAACTGCTAGTTCGAGCTCAGTATAAACCAGATTGTGTTTATTGTGTCCCAAAATGGCAACAATCTATATGTTTCACAAGTGTGTCATGAGACATTTTGTGTTGCTTTTAACCTTTTGATGCATGAATTATGAAATCTTCAACCACGATTTTTTTAACAATTTTTTTCATTCATCTTTAGGTGTGAATGAAACAAATTTCAACAAATATTTTTTATAACATTTAATAATTTACAAATAATTTATTACATGTCCACCTCAGTGAACATGAATTATGTTGGCTTGACTTACTGAAGTCCAAATGGAGGGGCTCAAATGCAATAAAGTCTTCAACAGCTGTGCTTAATAGCAAAAAATATAATAATAATAACAATTTATCTGTCCACTGTAGTGACCATTATGCATCAAAGTGTTAAGAAACTAAACCTGTAAATGCATCAGGATTTGTCTGCTGCTGGTGATATTTACACTAATCCTTAGCCCTGTAGGAAGTGAACTGTATTTCTCCAAACATAAGCCATTCAGAAGACTATCAGTGGAAGGTCTTGAGATGATTTCCAGAAATCAAAATAAAAAGGAAAACAATTGGTGACCATGTTTCTAGCATAATTGTTACATAATGGTTTAGACCTTCTGTATCTGAACACGTTATGCCCATTTGCAGTTTATATATTCTACTGTGCTGAAGCAGTTTTCTTAATGCCCTGAAATATTTGTCTTTTAACCCTTTATTGGGCCAACGTCTATATTTAGACACTTCCGCTTACATCATAAAGGATGTCGGCGTGCCCTTTCACAGATTCTTAGAATTACAAGATCTCACCCAACCAATCATCAGAGATCAAGTTAGTCACGGTTTGCGCCATGGCGCTATTCGACCAATCAGAGCGGGGCTATAATGCGCCAAATATTGGTGTATCTGCAGAGCCAGAAAACTGCTCGGTCTCTTCTCGTGTTTATGGTCAGGTCTCTGAAACTTACTAACTCTCACATCACAAGGTCGACTAGTTGTGCTAAATAAGGACATAAGTGTCGTAAATGTTAAATTCAATGAAGTTGGTGAAATCTTAGCCTGAAAATCAAACCTACGATATTTGCACTTGCCCTGCCTCCAACATGCCTCCATCTAAAAGGCTAGGTTATCCAGAGATATCTCTGTAGTTATGCTGCTATAGGCTTAGACTGCTGGAGGACACACTGACCACTTTCCACACTCTACTACTTTCTTCTACAGTCTGCTCTTTAGCTGTATTATTTCCTGCTATTTCAGCTGTTAACTTTATTTTCTCTCTAAGTGTTTTTCTCCCCAGAAGAAGCTACAATGATGTTCTGCTGAGCTGTGGTGCCCTCATGGAGGGGGCCATCGGCTTGAACACTGCTGCTAACCATTTAAACATTCTCCCTCTCCTGATAATAACATTTTACTTTCTTAACCATGGGGCACATCAGAGATAGAAGCGCCGCAAGATTTTAGAAGTCAAGTGGTCACACAGGACGCACCGCACCGCTGAGTCACGCGGGACTTGAGATCATGAAGCGGGAAGTGACTCTATTGTTCATACACGATCCGACTTGCCGTCGTGTTTTGTGAGACTCTAATTCATTAACAGTGAGTAAGTACACTATTTATTAGAATATTTTAAGATCAAAAGTAATTTAAAGTTAGCAAAAATACAGCTGGGTTTATGCCGGCGGTTGAGTTTGTGCCGTGAAGCCGTTCTGCGTTGTGATGTCTGTTGTAAAGGACTCCACAATGTTGTAAACAGCCACGTTGCAGCGCTTGAGATAGAGCTGGCACCTATCTTCAGTTCGTTGGCGTGGCGCTACTGGGACGTGGCACAGTGCTCCCTGCGTGTCCACTTTCAATGACTATAATGGCTTGTATATTTAAAATGACGGAGCGGATGCAGCGCGTCTGCCTCTGGTCTGCCCCAGGCTTAAAACATGCAATGTGCTACTACTAGTTCACCTGTTGAATTAGTTATAGGTAAACACAATAAAGCTTTTCTCGACCGGAAAAGGGTGGCTTGCCAACTCCGGGTCGGGAGAGAGGTCCTAACTCAAGTGGAGGAGTTTAAGTATCTCGGGGTTTTGTTCACGAGTGAGGGTAGGAGGTGGTTGGGGCATCTGGTCAGGATGCCTCCTGGACGCCTCCCTGGGGAGGTGTTTCGGACATGTCCTGCCGGCAGAAGGCCCCGGGGTCGACCCAGGACACGTTGGAGAGGTTACATCTCCAATCTGGTCAGGGAACGCCTTGGGGTCCTGCCGGAGGAGCTGGTGGAGAAGGCCGGGGAGAGGACGGTGTGGAGCTCCCTATTTGGGATGCTGCCCCCACGACCCGGACCCGGATAAGTGGAGGAAGACGACGACGACAATAAAGCTCATCTCTTCCTAACTGAATATTCATTAAGAAATCACAATGTAGCCATAGAACACTACTTGGTATATATGATGTGTGCATTGGGGGAAGAGGGAGTCGTGGCCAATGGCTGCTTATACTGAGCCAGGATCCTCTGGAGGTTTCTTCCTGTTAAAAGGGAGTTTTCCTCTCCACCATCTCTGCATGCTTGCTTAGTATGAGGATTGCTGTAGAGTCACTGACACTAGTCAGTGACTCGATGCAACCTGCTGGGTTCTTTATGTAGGAAACCTTTTACTGATTGGCTTAAAGTCTCTTTCTGAGGTATTTTTCTGTAATGTTACTCTTTCTGGTCATTAACAGCATGGCCCCAGATGTTTGTATTATCAGATCAGAGACATCTGGGGTCATGGTGTTAATAACCAGAAAGAGTAACAATTTTAACTTTTTAGATAATAAACAAACCAGTCCCCAGAAAATGATGGCTGTGAAATCTTAGATAAGTGAAGAAGTGCTACTCCTCTTCCTCCTCTCGTAAAGATATCGACACTGAGGTCATTCAACTTCTCAGACTGTTAAAGTCAAATCAGTTCACTGTGTTTCCTTTGCAAGAGAAAAAAAACCATAATCTAAGTATCGGGCATCACAAAGCAGGTGTTTTCTGTCTCCATTTACCATTACAACAGCAGTTAAACATTTTTTATTTATATTAAAAGTACATCCCTATGGACCTACCAGATTCTTTTCTTAGACAGGTTTGTGAAAACAGCTGTAATAGCGGAAATGTGGCTTTTTTTTATTTTGTAGCCATTATTAGATCATGTGCATCTGTTCAGGTATGAAAACAGCTTTACATGTCCTTGTTAAAATAAGAAATACAGCTCAAATGTGCTGGAAAGAGTTAAAAATTAATGTAATTATAGATTTTATAGTTATGTCTTTTTTAGAAAGAAAGAAAAATATTTTATGTAGCGCCTCTTGCGAAAAAAATCACAAGGTGCTTCACAAAAACAAAAAAATTAAAGTATAAAAATTATTTTTTTAATTATTAAAAAATATGTTTAAAATGAGAAAGAATAAAATGCACAAAACAATTAAATTAATAAAAGGTTATTAGCTTGACTACACCTGAATAGACATGTAAATGTAGCCCCATAAAAGTTCTATAAATCCAAAATACAATGGAGAACATTTAGAAGTGCCTTTATTAGATTAACCAGTAGCATTCAGCATTTTTAATTAAATAACTATTTACACACATGTATGCATTAAGCTGTGTCCAGTCAGTGAGACGTTAATCCAGTCAGTACATCCAAATCAGACAACAGTCAAAAATTTATGAATATAATTATCACACACACACAGCTGTGCATCATGTCTGCTAATAGGAATAATCATCAATAATCACATGCTGGCAGGACAGAGCCTAAAACCTAGATTCATCCTGGTTTAAAGAAATAAATACCCTGAGCTTTCGGACTCCATCTTTACATCACTTCAATGTGCTTTTATTTGTTGTGGTTTGACTTGAAATAAAAAATAAGTGGAAACATTCAAAAATAAAAACATTGAAAAAGAACTTTATAGTGCAAAATGAAAAAAGATAATATCACTCATCAGGTGCTCTAAATATCTGACGCTTTGGTCCAAACACATCTTCATTATATAAGACGGAAAAGAAGGTATAAATAGAAATGTAAACAGAAGGTTTTTTTATGTTTTCCAACATAAAACGGAAATAAAATGTGAGACAATCTGATAAATGACCACCAGTCTTAAAAAAAGCATTTTTATCTGGAGTTAATATAATTATTAAGTAGGTAATACACACCGCGTTGTTCTACAAACAACTCAAGTTTAGTTTTTTAATGTTTGATTAATACTGATAATGAATTCATCTCCAGTGGAAAACTGATTAATCTGTATAAACAAAACAATAAAGACATACGTTGGCTCCCAGAGATTTGTTTTTCTTCAGATGCAATAAAAATAACAACATTTAAAGTCTTTAGCAAATAACAAAGACAGAAACCCTAAATCCCCTGTGCTTCAGACTGTTGCAGTCTACAAAGTCGCTGTGGAGTGTTTGTTGTCATGACAACAGTATTGTTGTGGTGCCACGTACGGTCCTGGAGGTATTGATGCTTCTGGTTTAAGGCATCATGTTAACGGATGTTGGCGTGTTCTGCAGAGACAATCAAGACACACACTAATAAACATGTGACCACAAACCAAACAAGGCTCGTGAAAGAATAACCACAAACCTGCTAAGGCTCACTGTCCATGGTCACAGCGACCGTCTGAGACACATCTGGAACAAAAAAAAAACACACAAATGTAGGCGGCTGCTTCTGAATGAGATCGTTCCGAAACAAAGACGAGTACCAGCTGTCTCCTTGCTGCTGTCCTCGGTGTGTGGCGCACTGTTAACAAGCACACAAGGGTTGGGCTCTCCGTTGGCCGGGCTGTGATAAAAGCAGCAAAAGATTATTTAAACAAAATTCTCAAGGATCAATGTTGGTTATTTAAGGAATAATACCCACATTTTGCCATTCTGCTGGAGGATGCTGTTTACTTGTTCAGGATCTATGTGCACCAGTCTGGTCACAAAGGAATGCCCATCACCCTGGCTGGAAACAAAACAAGTTATATTTTAAAAATTCACCAACTAGGGTGCAGAAAACATTTACACTGAATGCAGCATAGACGTGTTTTGGTAATATTTTGTTATTATTACCTCACGCTCACCTTGAAAAAACTGGAAAAATCCAGTTCTTCGCCTGGTCTCCAAACACCTCGACTAAATTTCTTTTAAAGCCTAGAGAAAACCCGTTTTTGTCTGGACCATTTGCAAACACGGGAGCTCTGAAAGCCTCTGGAAGTAGTGAAAGAAATAAAAGTTAGAGAAGATGTTTTTATAACACAGAAACAAGAAGCTGAATGACGCATAAATAACCGAGATGTACCACTTCTGCTTTTAAAAGTTGGTACAGATTATTGATTCTTGTGCAGTGCAGCTCTGATCTGCCGATACAAAATGTGTTCAATTCCAATTCTTCTCAAAGAACTAAACTAATATTTAAAGCATTTCTGATTAGCTTGAAAACTGTTATTCTTGGAGTAAAAATAAGTAGAATGGAAGTGATGATGCGTTCGCAAACGCTGGAATTTTAATTGCTGCCTGGCAATGGTGCATTCACGAACGCCCTAGAAAGTTCAGATTTTTTTTCTTCAGTCTGGCTAATCATCAATTAAGCTGACTGCTGTACATATGAAATGATTCCAGCTCATTTTTTATGCATCTCCAGTAAAAAACACCAAATAGTTCCCGAGCGCGGCTGTGTCTGCAGCTCACCGCTCCCCCAGGGGATGGGTCAAATGCGGAGAACAAATTTCGCACACACACCTGTGTGTGTGACAACTAATGGGACTTTAACTTTAAATTCTGACTCTCTTTACCTATGGTGGTCCTGTTCTTTCCCACAAGCCACAGGTGGTAGCTGAAAAGTGACACAATGCTAATAAAGAAAAGGGCCGCCACAAAAAACAGGAACAGGATGTGGAATTTAGCATGCGTGTCAGGAAGTTCTTTCTGAGGAGAAAAAGACATTTGAATCTGTCAATGAAAACGTTGCATAGGATCCCTTTAACAGCTGAAACTGCCTCAGGCCCTGCAAGCATACTTAAACAGGGTGGTTTCAAACATGGTAAATAAAATAATACATATCAAAGTGTTTGTACTTACGGTCCAGAATTTTATGAAATACTGAACTACTGTTGCACAAATTACAACACAGTAGAGCGTGGCGTAGGCTAAAAACAGAACAAAGAATTTGTAGTTGGAGAATCCAACGCAGTTATTCACCCTGAAAGGAAATAAGACAGAAATCCATGTCTACCTTTAATTTTATTCTGAGGAATCAACAAAAAATGAATAATAATAAAATAAAACTTTAAGCATTAATAATTCTCAACATGCAAGTCAACAAAAACCACAAAATAAATCTTACCAGGGACAGTGATGGTCCATTTTTAGAACGCACCTTGAGCAAAAAGAAAAGAAAGATCAGCATTATGCTGCAGCTGTATGATGGAAAAGTATATTTGAGTGTGAAGAAAAAGACCCAACAAGACCAAAAAAAAAGACAGAAATTTTTACAGAAAAAATGAATAAAAAGCAGGTAAAAATCATCCCTATGATTTCAAAATGACTCACATTTCACAAGTGGAGCAGTGATGGCAGCGATCAGGTTTGATCAGCTGACAGAAGTCGCAGTAGCGGATGGCTGTGGAGAAAAGAAGGGATAGTCATAAATACAGAACCCAATGTTTACAGGTGCACCCAAAAATATGAAACATCCAGAAAAGCCTCAATATGTTTTATCACTTATTTGAGAATATATGTGTTACATTCAGCAGAATGACATATTTCAAGCCTTTATTTTTGATGATTATGACTACAAATATAAAACCCCAAAATTCAGTGAGTCAGAAAATTAAAAAATGAAAGATTAAAAAAAAAGGTTAAAAGTTGGTTAATTTCCCTGCATCCATCCTTGGTTAGGTCTAATTTACATAATTTACTGTGTGACGTGTCTTCCTCTGCTGGGTTAGTCTTACCCGAACCATTGTCCTGTATTAAGTTAGTCCAGGGGTGGGCAATTCTGGTTCTTGAGGGCTGCTATCCTACATGTTTTAGTGTTTTCCCCGTTTCAAAAAGCCTGATTTCAATCAGCAGGTGATTATCAAGCTTCTGCAGAGCCTGATGAGCTGCTGCACAGGTGAATCAACTGTGTTGGAACCAGGAAACAGCAGAAAGATGCAGGCCTTCGAGGACTGGATTTGCCCAACCCTGGGTTAGTCTAACCCTAAGCATCTACTTGTGTTGTTAGTCCAACTAACCACCATCCTGTGTTGGGTTCATCTAACCCTAACCACTGTCTTGTGTAGGGTTCAGGGTGCTCTGTGACTGACATCTGTACGTAAGCCGATGTCCAACGCTAGCGGCTAATGCTGAACGATAGTCAACTTAAATTGCACGGAGCTCTATGGGACAGGGACAACGTAACGGGAAAAAAAGGACATATTATATCACAGTTCCAGTAAGTCTATCACTTTTATGAATCCCTCTAATTGCTGGTAGGAGAAAACTCCGGATTGCTGCTTTAACTTTCTATAAATAAGCTTAGAGCAGGAACTCTTGAAACAAGCATCTTCTTTATCACTGACCTTCTGTGGTATCCCCTCATCGTGGACAGGGTCAATTACGGTCTTCTGGACATCTGTCCAGTCAGCAGCCATAACCATGATTGTGACCATTGTGACCCAGACTAAGACCATTTAGAGTAGGAGTGGTGAATCCTGGTCCTGGAGGTCCACTATCTAGCATGTGTTAGTTGTTTCCCTGCTCCAACACACCTGATTTTATTCAGCAGTCATCTACAGAGCTCGATGAGCTACTGAACAGGCGATTCAAGCACTGAATCAGGAGTGTTGGAGCAGGAAAATAACTAAAACATTCTGGATAGAGACCCTCAAGGATCATCATTCATCACATCAGGTGTTCTGAGTTAATTAGCTGATTAGGGAGTGACATAAAAGAGTTTCTGAAATTCCAACATTACAGTTTTTTCTGAATATTCTAACTTTTCGATACACTGAATTTATTATTTTTTCTCATCTGTGGCCATAATAATCAGAATTACATGGAATAAGGGCTTGAAATATTTTGCATTTCACTTTGAGACACGAGTGACAAACATATTTAATTTTCTCCTATTGTTTGTTTGGGATGCATGTGTAGATGAAATAAATGAAAGCTGTATTATTTTGTGTTGTTGAGGATTTAACAGATCTGTGGATCCTTGTTGGGGTTAGGGATTCAGGTTTAGATCCACTGAGAAAACAAGCTGCACTCAACTATAGCTCAGTTCTGCAGAAACAAAAGAAAACGGTTTGATGTTCATCAACAAAAACTAAATGTCATCTGCACATTCATATAAATAGGGAAGCTGAAGAGTAGCAACACAGTTATGTAATTTCCTTTGGTTTTGTTCATGTAAGGTTGTGCATGGATGTCTGATGAGCGCTGAGGGAAGTGTCCCTGTGTTCTTCCTGTATTTACAGTCTGTAGCCGTCCCTCTGGAGGACTGATTTAAAGCATCAGAACAGCCTGCTGCCTCACCTCCTCCAGCCGTGCGCGTGTATATGGGTAAATTCTTCGCCACTCTCTTAAGAATCTCCTGTTGCATCTCAGCTCGCTGCTCCTTCTCGTACAGCTCCTTCTCTGCTCGAGGCAGGGCGAACTAACAGCAGGAAGACAAAAACAGAAGCCTCAGAAAGCTTTAAAGATGGTGAGGTTATTGCTGAGTACAACGGAAAAACTGTTAGCTTACTGCTATTGAGGGGCTAGCTGGCTTGGACCAGATCGTTTTCCAGTACGACCAAATGAAAATGGCGAGGAAGGCGTGAAAGATGACCAAATAACTGACTGTGGGAAGAAAGAAAATAATAGCTTTTAAGGTTATACATTTTCATCTTTGATACATTAAGATGAAATCATTCAAAAACATCCTATAAAGAAGTGCATTTCACCCTCAGCTTTCCATTTCGGACTTTTAAGCTTAAGTAATAGTGAGTGTGTGGACCACTTACTTCGTTCTGCATTGATTGGGATTGTATCTGTGTGTGGCAGAAAAAAGGAAAACATATATTATTGATAGTGGTTGAACATCATTAGAAATGCATGAATACATCCATCTCCCACACCGCCCCCCACCCCCACCCCTGGTGCCATGTGGCAGCAGCCTGGCACGGCCAGCAGTGACCCAGCAGTGACAGCGAGCTTTGTTTAAGCAGCAGGGATGTCCCTGTTCTGACCAGAGACACAAAACCACCACACTGATCAGATTTTAAATAATCAGCAACAGAATCAAACTTACTGACAAGGAACTTGTTTTAGTGTTTTTGCTGGAGGCAAATAACACGTCTTCAAGAAAATTTAACACAGTCACATAAGCAATTAGAATGGGCATGGTGAATATAATAAAACGTGAATATAATTATTGAGTCTTTAAGAGGTGCTACCAAAATACTCATAACCAAGGACTTAAAAACAAACTAAAAATCAGAGCATGTACTATTAAAATAATAATCATAAGGCTATTTATCTATTAATTTTACCGTTTGCCAATGAGAGAAAAGCATTTAGATTAGTTGTATTTATGTGATAAATCTCACTTTTAAGCCTAAATACTCAACTATGAAACACTGATAAATGCTCAAATGCAAGATTAAACTGTGATTATTTAAATATTCAGTATCTCAATCACCATTATTAAAATGATTCTGTTGGGTCAGGAACAACATGAATGAAGTCTGAACACATCCATACTCACTTTAATCATTAATAAAACATTGAACTGACTTATTGTGGGTTTTTTCTCTGTTACAGGTGATTAACAGCCACTTTCAATGATAGGTCAAAAGTTTATAGTAAAAAAATGTAAAACATCTGACATATTAATTTTTAACCAGAAAAGGCGTTTTTGTTTTTGCAGAGTCTGACCAGAGCACTAATGAGAGGAGGGACTATTTAAAATCTCACTTCAACCTGCTTATTAAAGTTGGCACAGCGTGACGCGCCTCGCGACGACTAAACACGGAGAAAGGAAGGTGTACTCACACACACAGAGTTCCACAACATACGCATAATAAGACCAGGCAACAACCAAGTTAATAAACAGGACAGGTATCCAGTTCAGAGCCCGTTTACAGCACCTCAGTGCCGGAGAAGGTGCCATCTTTAATCCGTACTGGACGTGAGTCGCCAGTGACGTCACATTCAAGGGTTTTAAAACTTGAGCCAAAGATAGAACAACAACAAGATGCTTCACTCCACTGCAGATGCTACAAAGGCGTACCGGTGCCACCCACCCAGAAACAACACTCTGCAGATTTGGCTTGCTTTTAGCACCCCCTAGCAGTGGAGGCATGATTTGACAGGTTGGGCACAAACTCTCTCTCTCTCTCTCTCTCTCTCTCTCTCTCTCTCTCTCTCTCTCTCTCTCTCTCTCTCTCTCTCTCTCTCTCTCTCTCTCTCTCTCTCTCTCTCTCTCTCTCTCTCTCTCTCTCTCTCGCACACACACACACACACACACACACACACACACACACACACACACACACGTGGTTGCCACTAATTCATCCATGCAATGTAACTTTGATCCTTATTATATAAACAAGAAAAACTACACACTGGAAATGCAAATATTTAAATGTAATTCAAGAATAACCTTTTTAGATATTGCACTGTAGGGTCACTGAAAGGGTCAGTCACCAGTGTTGCTTATTTCTTGAGCAGAAAAGATGCGCAACGATCTGAGCAAACTTCTCAATAACTCTACTGTCAAAATCTGGTAATCCATGAATTAATTTGGTTTTAATGGACAGCCGGTGCATTTAACATTTATTACCTCATTGTGTTCCATTTAAACATTTTAATCCTTTTGAGTGCTGAAAAGTTCCTTAAACAGTTTAACAGGGCTGTCCATAGACATGAATACGTAGACATGTCATTGATGGCTGGAGAGCATAACAGCATCACCGCCAGTTAGGTGGGATCCTCACTCCAACCAAACTGGAGTCAACGCAGGGTCTGCAATGCCAGTTTTTTGTGCAGCATGTGGTTGTAATAACTGGCGCACTACTGAAAACAGATCATGTGATATTGACTTTACTAGCCTACCTGTAGGGAATTTATTTTATTATTTTATTTTGTTTTATGTATATGTTAATTATTATCATGCCATACCATATGTCTGATTTTGTTTGAAATTATAATAAAATGCATTTTTTTTTGTTGAGTAAACACCTTTTCCAGTAGAAATAAATGTGCTGGGAGCGACTGGGGACCCATCCAAGATGGCAGCTGTCACTGTACTCGTCTTCTTCTCTATGTTAATGGCAGCTGGGGAAAAAAATTTGATCTGGAGTGAGGATCAGTGCCGCTGCATGCTTGCTGTCCACTAGAATATAAATGTACAAACAAACCATTCTGTTCCACTGACTATTTTGAAGAGAGCATAGAACTCAAGGGTGCCATCTGGTGGAGCCCGGCCCCACTAGCTCTTAATGTAGAGAAGTTACTGCCCCTAGTGTTAATTTTAATTAACTGTCGTTAAAAAATTGTTGTACTCTACTCGCTGTACGCTCATATGTTTTTAACACCTTAATCTAACTGCTGAAATGTCTCCTCATCCTTCATTAGGTTCTTCAGGAGAAGTTCAGCACTAAACCAAACAAGCCATCAGCTGTGTTATTCTTTGCTTGTCTTGTGTTGCATGTTTAATGCCCTTATTGTGGGCATACGTTCCCTCAACTGCACGATCCACAGGAGTACATTTGTGTTGTTGGTGTTAATTTTTTACTGTTTTCTTAACTTGTTGGGAACACATTGGGAAATACCTCCGGCTCCATCCATGCACCTATTGTTTACACCAGGGATCAGCTGTTGGCACTGCGGACACCAGTGCTCTTCTCCAAAGAAGAACCGATTTTGCCCCCAGAATTAAGGAGGAGATGTAGAGTATGCAGAGCGGGTTGTAAGGGCCTCATTTATCAAACTTATGCACAGATCTGTGCATATTTCGTGCGTAGGGACCATTCTACGCATTGTGTGTTATTTATCATTTAGTACTTGTGTTACATCCCCGACATGTGTTGGTAAAAATGTGAAGGATGGGGGTAACATAAGAACTGGCGGCGGAGTTTAAAATGGGTTTATTCGTACAAAAGGTATTAAAACACAAGCAAACAGATCTCTCTAAAAGGTTAACATCACGAATTATCAACTATAAAAACACCTGGTAGAAACTTATATTAAAAGTTTACCGAAACGAAGGTGTTCTAAAAGCCCGAAGTTGATAAAAGTCCCAAACAATTTACTGATTAAAACACCTGGTAAAAGCTTTATTTAAAAGCTTTACCCACACGAAGGTGTTTAAAACCAAAGTCAGTAAAATTGCACAAACCAAGTTAACCTTTACAAAAAAGCAAGCACACAAAAGATCCCCCTGGATCATCCAAACTTTATCACCAAGAGTTAAACTATCACAGTTTAAAACTGCATCAAATCGAAATGTGTCTAAACAAAAGGGGATGGAAAACACACAAAAAACCAGGAGGACAGGAGAACCCCTGCACTGCTGCCTCCCAGACTGCTGAAGGCACAGCCTTTTTATACAGGTGTTGGTGATCAGGGAGATTCAGTTCAGCTGTGCTCCTCAGCAGCCCGGGAGAGAGGAGAAGGAGGGGCGGTTTCAGGCTGATTCACTGGAGCTTGGTGATCTTGGCTCCTGCTCCTCACTCAAGGCTGGTGGCTGTGACACCCCCGCACATGAAAGAAGGAAAAAGAATAAAAGTTAGTAAAACAAACACACCAAACCTAACTTTTGGAACTTTTTCTTTAAAAAAAAACTGGAGGATGAAAGGGACGAAGTCTCTCGAAGGATAAAGCGGACAAAGTCTCTCAGAGGACAAAGGGGACGAAGTCTCTCAGAGGACGAAGGGGACGAAGTCTCTCAGAGGACGAAGAGACTGGAGGGACGAAGACACTGGAGGATGGAGGACGAAGACACTGGAGGATTAAAAGCAAGCGACGCCAGATAAAAACGAAACAAGCTGTTTAAAAATCCCTACTCTTCATGCACTTCGCAGGCGGGCAGATTAAGCACATGTGCTGTTGCACATTCTGACCAGCAAAGGGAGGGGTTTAGCCACTGCCCTTCCTGGGGTGCTCCCGAGATGGTGGAGTAAACCACCAATGCTAACCCGCTAGGTGCAACAGCTAAGCCTGCCTGTGGGGGTCATCTGGGTCCTTTTATGCTTGACTGGATCCTCCTGTGGGGGCGGGGCCTCCAGATGCACCCGCCAGTCATCCAAGTCATCTATTGCAAACCTTTTAAAACAAACAAAACACCATTAAAATTACCACCACCAGGGGATTTGTACATTCCTTCACGATCTGTTGTTAAAAAATTCCCGGACGAGCCCCCATTTATGTTACATCCCCGACATGTGTTGGTAAAAATGTGAAGGATGGGGGTAACATAAGAACTGGCGGCGGAGTTTAAAATGGGTTTATTCGTACAAAAGGTATTAAAACACAAGCAAACAGATCTCTCTAAAAGGTTAACATCACGAATTATCAACTATAAAAACACCTGGTAGAAACTTATATTAAAAGTTTACCGAAACGAAGGTGTTCTAAAAGCCCAAAGTTGATAAAAGTCCCAAACAATTTACTGATTAAAACACCTGGTAAAAGCTTTTTTTAAAAGATGTACCCACACGAAGGTGTTTAAAACCAAAGTCAGTAAAATTGCACAAACCAAGTTAACCTTTACAAAAAAAAAAAAAAAACGAGCACACAAAAGATCCCCCTGGATCATCCAATCTTTCTTTTCTTTTCTTTTCTTTTCTTTTCTTTTCTTTTCTTTCGTGGGGGCTCGTCCGGGGACAACTTGTGCATAAAGGTTCCCAACATCTCTGACCGCGCGTAGGGTTAGGGTTAGGGTTAACAGGTCATCAGCTCAGAAGAGGCTGAGGCTGCGTGCTCAGACAACATTTCCAAATATAACTAACTCCACACAGATGTAACGGAATGAAATGACTGTTTTCCACCACAAGTCATTTGCCCCCTCTCCTCTGACACAGAACTAGTCTGCATGAGATATGGCCTCAAGGTCTCATGCATTTGCTGTAAACTGCTTCTTTCCAGCTCAAGAGAAGAATGTAGAAAAGGACTCTCTCCTTTTGATAAATCAAAGAACTCTATTTTTAATAAAGCTAATCAAACAAAGTGTTGGACAATAATAAGATGTGACCAATCTGTGAAATCAAAATATTAATTACTTTATTATAATTCTATAGAATATAATACGTAATATGACTTTAAATGTTCCACTAGGACTGATCTCACAGCATTAAGACATGACACATTGCTTTTACTGATCCAATCAGAATCTGCCAGATCTGATGGAGGCGTAGTTTTGGTGGTGTTTGGTAAATCTGTCATCTTTTCATTCGACCATAAACCAAAACATCCGAAGTATAAAACTATGCCCACGTCATCTTTAACGCCAATTCAAAGCGTTCTAGAGAAGTTGTCGGAGTGACCAATCCGTAACTTTCCTCTTCAGCCAAAAGAACCAACGACAAGCTGGATAAAATCTGTTGCTGTTCCAACTGCTGCAACGGTTCCTTTCAGAATAAAAGCTGAACCATCACGACCCAGTTTTGGGTCTCGCTGGATGCCAACAAACTGTCGTGACCCGGAAGTATCTCAAAGACTGGTCTGGTCGGCAACCGCTGCTTTTCCTACTGGCTTCGGTTCCAGAGAGGGTCAAGCTGGACCTCGACATTCCTGATCTAACGGGGACTTCCAAAAGGGTATGTAGGCCGACAGAATGGCGTCGAATGTGTTTATGAATCTCCTAATCAAAGCTTAGCGAGAAGACATCACCTTCATTTCCCACCAGAACTAATTGTTTCTCCAGATTTGCTGGTTCTGAACAACATTCAACACTACACCATTCTCCGTCTCATTCACCTTAGTTACACCATACATTTAGTGTTAAAGTTAGTCTAGTTTAATTTGTTTAATAATACATCTTTAAACTTTTAAACTTGACTCTCTCTTCTGTTGTCTCTGAGTTAATACGAAGCTGTTACCTAATCCCTGCAATAAAAAGTTCCAATCTTCTGGTTAACAGTACCCACAGATCCATAAGGTTGATTTCATATTTACTATGGAATCCCATGTCTTATGGCTCATTAACTAACATCTAAATTAAACCATTACACAGACAACTCCTGAACAACCTGTT